CTCTCATCATTGTCAGTTTGTTTATTTCCACAGTCTTTGTTTCCATTCATTTGTTTATTTTGTTGACTGGGTTCCACTTATAAGTGAGATCATATGATATTTGTCTTTTGCTGCCTGGCTTATTTCATTTAGCGTAATACTCTCCAGTTCCATTCATTCCATCACAAAAGATAGGAGTTCTTTCTTTCTTTCTCTTGGATAGCATTCCATTGTGTAAATGTACCATAGTTATTTGATCTACTCACTGATGGGCACTTAGGTTGCTTCTAGTACTTGGCTATTATAAATAACACTGCTGTGAACATTGGGGTGCATAGGTTCTTTTGAACTGGTGATTCAGGGTTCTTAGGGTATAATCCCAGCAGTGCAATCACTGGATCAAAAGGCCATTCCATCTTTAGTTTTTTTAGGAAATTCCATACTGTTTTCCACAGTGGCTGTGGCAGTCTGCGTTCCCACCAACAGTACAGTAGGCATCTTAATTTTCAATGACAACATTCTCATCAATCACCCAAACTTCAGAACGTCACTCAGTCCGCAATTAAGAGAAATAGAAAACTTGGATGGACCTATCTCTCAGGAGATTCCAGTCTAATTTGAGACATGTTCCCCCAGAATCTTCCATGACCTAAAGACAGTCTGCAAGTAAAGGCCAACCCAACTAGTCACTCTGTCATGTGACAGACTCTGTGTTGAGGGATCTAGGTTGAGAGCTCACAGTTTCCTCTGAATTAGATCACACCAGAGCCATCCACAGTCCACATTTCAGGCTGAACTCTTGCCATGTTTTCCAGAAGCAGGGCCTTAGAAACCCTGACTGTGGCCAGATTCACAGCTGTGCAGCTGCCAAGACTAACAGACTAGTAGACAGTCTTTCTGCTGCCCTCGAAGGTCCCAAAGAGATACCTGCTTTTTCCAGTAATTCACTTCTGTCTCTCTGTCTTGCCATTTTCTTTCTCAGGCTCAAGTTGAGAGTCTCACAGATGGCTTTGGGGAAAACAACTGCTTGTTCTCAAACGAGCTGTTGGGAGACACATTCCTGCTCCCTCCCTTCCTCTGTTAGAGTTCTTGGCCGGCCTTGGCCCTGACTCCAGGAGATCATGACGCTGCTGCCTCCCTCTGCAAGTCCCCATACCTTTCAGCAGTCCTGCTGGCAGCCAGGGCTGCTGGCGTTTACATTTTTCTTCTAAGCAGCTTGGCAAATTGGAGCCTTTGCTTTTCTGTTTTAAAGCCTGGCTTTTAATTCTGGGCTGAAGGGAGCATTCAGCATTGTGCCCATGAGCCCACAGACATCAGGGAGTTCTCCCATGCTTACCTGTAACCTCCAAGGTGTGGCTCAGGGTATAAAACAAACCACTTGAGTGAGCTGGTTTGAACTGGAGCCCCCATTCATGGGGCAGTGAGGCAGGACAATTTGGGTGCCCATGGCCATGAGCTGGCATTGAGGTCTGGAAGAGAAGCCTTGGGAAACCGATGGAAATGTTCTGTCTATGATGTGAAATAAGGTCAAGCACAGTTTGTGTTCCCAGGTTTAGTTTCAGTGGATTGGAGGCAGGTGAGGAGACCAGGGATTTTAAAGCAACCACTTAGACAAAGCTAATCTACATGCTGTCAAAGATGAAAATAACCACTAGGATAAAAAGCAAGTAATGTCTGACATTTATAAGAGACCAAGAGCGTGTTAAAACATGGTCTTGTATTTGGGTTTTCATTTCCACAGAAATGAATATAAACTGCCCCTGAGTAAGCCTTATTTCTGCTTCTGCTCAAAATTTGCTTCATGTATCCTTCTGCGTTTTAGTTTTTCACTGGAAACTTGGGGATAAACATATATGTTCTTCTAAGGGTTGTTCTGAAGCTTATGCATTGCATTATGCATAATGTAAATGCACTGCATTATGCGAAGCATATGCATGGATGTCTTCAAGAGAACTTTATAATCTGACAAGTTCACTTTTCCCTCCCTCTCTCTTCTTCCCCCTTCCTTCCTTCTCTACTTCCTTCCCTTCTATTCTTCCTTCCTTTTTTCACTAAAATATCTACCCAGGAATCAAATATGAAAATTCTGTCATAAAACAAAAGGCATAAAGACAAAGCCCAGAGAAGTATAAGTCAGTATTTCTTTCTAAGCATAACTAGCTATTGGGGCTGAGAGGAGGTAGAACTGCTTAAGACACTTAGCCTTCACAGACTTCTAGGGAATCAACTCTCTGCTTTCAGAACCACAGGGCAGACACAGTCTGTGTACTTTCCTCCTCTCTCTCTTTCCCTTGGTGGGGCTGAAAGGAGGCTTGAATCCAGAGGCAAGAATAATTAACTGGACATCAATGAATGGGTACATGAATCCTTTTTGGAAAACTGAGGCTACTTGTAACTAGAACTTGAATTTAGGGCTTCAGAGAAAAGGGCACCTGGTTCTGATATTCACCAATATCCACTTTCAGATCTATAGGGACTGCAATCCGACATCCTTTAAAGCTGGACATCACCTAGAGGGGACTATAAATGACCAGTGAAACTTAAACAGGAGTGACAGGTGTTATTTCTAATCCCAATAGCTGGCGTGGGACTCTCCTGCTCTCTCTCTCCCACTGCCATGCTGACCAAGGGACTTGTGTTGTCAGGTCAGGCATTGAGGGCAGCAGAAACTGCAAGGCTGGACTGCAGAGTCACCACAGGAGGGATAAGTTGCCCTGGAGAGTGTCCTGCACTGCAGAGCGTTTTGTGTGAACAGGAATTCAGCCTCTGTGGTATTGGGTGGGGTAGCACAGCAGCTTAATGGCCCACGCCAAAAGGTATACAGAGAGTATGGAGAGCACTCTTCATTCGGTGGCTTTCCTTACACTCTGCCCACTTCTAAGCAGCCAAACCACTGCAGAGTGTCCCGCTTCTCTTCTGTTTTCCTCTCTACCAAGCCCAGAGTAGCAGCTGTGTGGAGGGTTGCGGCTGTGGGAAATGAAGGGGGGAAATGGTTACTCCTCTTCCCTTTGGAATTAGTCTTGTCACATAAATGGTTTACATACTGGTGGTCTCCACAGAAGCCAAGCATGTGTTCTCAGGTGCTACCCCTATTCCACATGCAGCCCCATCCCAACGCATAAACAGGAGCCACAGACCCAACCCCCCTGCATCTCCCCACAGAGCCAGAAGGCTCTGTAACACTGCAGGAGGCCCTGGGTCGTCTTTGGAAAATAGCAGACCTGATGTGTGCCACCCACATACCCAGCTATTGCAGGACTGATGCAGCCACAAGCTAAAAGAATCTCCACAGCTATTTCCTGGCAAGGGATGATGAATGTGGTTTGGTCTCTTTTCTTTCTCCCAGAGTATGGAAACAGTATACCTCAAGTGATTTAGAAAGGGATAGTGCCTGAGAGGTAGTCTGTTATTCCTGTGGGTTTGCTTACCATTATCTTCATTCTGCATTTTCCTGCAATATTCTATCCGTGAGGTTTTTAGAATTTGTATCACAATTTTGGAAGAGACATCTTTTGGCTTCTTTAATTGAGTGTAATCATAGCTTAATGTAATTTTCCTTAGCATTTATTTTAAAACTGATAACCATATTTAAATATATGTAAGATATATTAATTACAACTTGTACACTGATTAAAATATGTTAGTTAGCATTACAACATATGTTCAAACCAAAAAATGGAGATCTCAAGTTGTGTGATGACCCCATATTGATTGGCAATGAGCAAAACCCCTGTGGCAGGGTTTGGATGACCCCTTGCTCATGCTGACTTGGGAGACACAGATGCACCTCTCTGTGTCCAGTTCTTGTTTACTCAAATTTCATATTTGGGAATCCCATCTTGACTCATGAGGGTGAATTTCAGATGAGAATTGTAATACAGATATTCAGTTTATACACACATTTGGGCTTAATTCTACCCTTGGCTGTGCTCAGACGGCCTTCATGGCTTTGACAGGAAAACTTGCCAGCACGTGTGTGGACAGGATTTGGCCGGAGCTGTGGCTGGGTCTGAGAGGTAGCCGTGGACAGAACTGGAAGTTGCTTAGTCCATTAATGAATTCTCAGATTATTCACCACAGGCATCTTTTTTTGCCTGGGGCTGCTAGTCGAGACTAATAGAGCCCAAAGGGACTCTGAAATCTGTGAAATGAAGTACCGAACTTCTTAGACTGGATGAGAATCAAGGTGCAATAATTGAGTGTGTCTCAGCCTCTGTCTGTCTTAGAGAATTTGCCAAGATTAGTCCTTGTCTGAAGTCTGTAAAGGAAGAATTGTCTAGCTTGACTCAACAGGAAGAATTGGTCTTCAAACTGTGACCTTTGGAAGCAGTTAAGACTAGGGGAGGGCAGGAAAAGTAGAAGTTTCTCGGTGCAGACATTCCTATCGCCCCTCTTAGATCCCCTTAGACAGATGGTTATCCATAAAATTGTTTCTTCCACTTGTTTGTTGTTCAAAGTGATAGACAGACATACTTATTAAAAAGTTTATTAGCCATGGGCTACCAATGAGCCTTTGCATGTTTAAATAATAAGCTTAAGGAAAGCTCCTTTTTAAAAAATATTTTTATTTTCGCTTTTTTAGTTTTCAATTACAGTTTGTTTACGTTCAATATTATTTTGTATTAGTTTCAACTGTTCAGTATAGTGGTTAGATAATCATATGCTTTACAAAATGGTCCCCCAATATTTCAAGTACCCACATGGCGCTGTACATAGTTATTACAATATTACTGACTATATTCCCCATTCTGTGCTTTATATCTCTGTGACTATTTTGTGACTACCAATTTGTACTTCTTAACCCCTTCACCTTTTTCACTCAGCTCCCCTCCAGCTGCCCCTCCAACTCTGGTAACCATCAGTCTGATCTGTATCCATGAATCTGTTTCTATTATTTTGTTCATTCGTATATTTTGCTCTTAAGATTTCACATGTAAATAAAACTACATGCTGTTTGTCTTTCTCTGTCTGGGTTATTTTACTTACCACAATACCCTGTAGATAGATCCGTCTATTTTGTCAAAAATATGGAAAGCTTCAAAAACTTGCACGTCATCTTTGAGTAGGGGCCATGCTCACCTTCTCTGTATCACTCTGATTTTTGTATATGTGCTGCTGAAGCCAGCACATTAAGAAGAAATTCTTAATCAAGATCAGTCCATACTAAAATTTCAGATTCAAAAAGACTTCATTGGCTTACTCCATGGGGCATTACTACTGAATTGGAATAACATTCTAATGAACAAACCAAACAAACAAGGAAAATGGGGACAGACTCAGAGATGGAGAACAGGATGACAGCTAAGGATGGGGGAAGGCTAGGTGCTGGAGGGATTGAGCAAAAAGGAAAAAGGACTCATGGGCATGGATGACAATGTGGTGATTGCCTGGGGGAGGAGGATATAAGGGAGTTAAATGGTAATAGAAAAATACAATGAAGATTAAATTAAAGAAATGTAATAGTATAGGCTAAGTTATACTTGGTAACAGACAACTCCAACATTTTGGAGGTTTAAGACATTTGCTCAAATTACCTGTTCATTGTAGGTTGGCTTCTGCAGGATAGGGCTGGGGAGATCTGTTCAATGTCTTATGCCTGGAAATAGGCATATAGACTCATATAGGAGAGGCTACATGTTCATGTGCCCAGATTGTCAGACAAGAAAAAAGGAGGGCCCTGACTGGTGTGGCTCAGTGGATTGAGCAACTGCCTGTGAACCGAAGGGTTGCTGGTCTGATTCCCAGTCAGGGCACATGCCTGGGTTGCAGGCCAGGTCCCCAGTAGGGGTCGCATGAGAGGCCACCACACATTGATGTTTCTCTTCCTCTCTTTCTCCCTCCCTTCCCTTCTGTCTAAAAATAAATGAATAAAATCTTTAAAAAATAAAGAAAGAAAAAAACAAAGAAAAAAAGGAGGGAGGGAGAGTGCAAGAAAACAAGGCAGATCACACACTGATTTTTATAGCTTTCTTTTGGAAGTGACACACATCACATCTGTTCATATGTCGTTGCTGAAAGCATTTAGATGGCCACACCTAACTTCAAGGGCAAGGAAGTATATCCCTAAAAATTTCTCAGGAAAACTAAAAATATTTGGTGAACAACATCAATGACCACCACACAGGATTCTTTATTCATGCTAATCGACCTAAACCCAGTAAATGCTGAAGTATATTTTAATAAAGAGTTCATCCATCAAGCCTTTGTGTCTCATACAGGCATCTAGACTTTGACCTGTACCCCTTTGTTTCTTCATAGGCATGAAAAGAAGCTTAGATACAGCATCAAAGTTAAAAGGAGCAGGTGGTTAGACAGCACTCAGAGTAACTCCCTTGTGGGGGCATAACAAGAAGGGGCCAGGGAATAAGCGAGTCAAGAAGACAAGCATGGTATAGTTTATTTTATTAAGCTTTTATTTGTTATTGTTATTTTTCTATTACCACTTAGTCTTCTTATACCCCACCCCAATGTTGTCCATGAGTCCTTTTCCAAAAGGACAGGATTTGAAGTCATAACTGGCTCTGCTGGCTAAGTAATTGTGTGTCCATTGTTTAACTTGTAAGAGCCTTAGATTCTCCACCTGGAAGGTATTGTAAATAATCAAATGCATATTGCATATAAATACTTTGTGACTCATAAGCACTATGTAACTATTGTAGAATAAAAGAATACACTATTCTGAGCTTTGAGCATATCTGAACTGTCTCCAGATTTTAATGAATGCCTGATTTTGTCTCAGAGAACAGAATTGGCATTTGGTATGTCAGCAACCCATATCAATTTTACATGTCAGCAACTCTAATTTTAAATCTATAAAACCTAAAATAATAAAGAAAATAGGGAATTATTGTATACCACAATACCTATAGGCCATATCGGTGGTCAGCACTGAACAGAGAAACCAGCTGAATAATGAGTAAAGTAATAAAACAGAAAACAAATTCTTTACAGGAAATGAACAGGACAGAAAATGAAGTGTCATTGGAGGAAGGCAAAGTAAAACATGTGAAACCAAAATGTAAGTTGCTGTATCTTTACATCTGATGTCATTACATTATAAACCTGTACATTATGTGCAAATTCCCTTCTGTATTATATCACTCAAGTTTGAATATGTAGGGGTATTTGCTCACATTGTGGACTTACTCATTGCAAATTAGGTCCTGGATTTTTTGTCATAATTAAAGCTTAAAGTCTTTCTTTTCTTCTTTCCCTCTCTCTGTCTCTCTCTTTGTTTCTATTATGCTTATTAATGATAGCTTCTAAATTTCAGGTAGAATACTGGTATTAGGGATATCAATGTATTTAGAATGTTTTCCCTGCTATAGAAGAATGCAAAAACAAGAGATGGTAATGAGATGATGTTGTACTACGTGTAGAGATAAAACACTATAAGAGCAAAAAAAAAAAAAGAAATTATGTAACTATATTTAGGGAGGTCAGGGGAGGAATCACAGAGAAGATGACATTTGAATTGGGTTCACTGTCCAAGAAGAAAGGTGCAGAAAGGAATTCTAGGTAGAAGAAACAACATTATGCATCTTGAATGTCAATTAATTTAAAGTCTCTTAAATGCAAAACTTTTGTGGAGAGGTGAGGTTCCAAAGATAGGCAAGGATCCTGACCATGATGGTCTTTGTGGGCCATGGCTAAGAATTTTATGGTGCACCCCAAGTGGACTTTAAAATGGCTGAAAAAAGGGCTAACATTTATTTTTAATGGAATGTCCATTTCTTAATATTACAAATGCAAAAAATACTGATTCTCAAATTTATGAATTTGTGAATTACTGTATTAATCTATGTATTCATATCTAAAATTAATTCCTTACTTTGGCTCATCTATGTGATCAAGATTACCTTTATAATGTGGCAAATGCCCTGCCCTGATCTGCAAGTCATTTCGTAAAAGTACCAGTCTATTAGGGAACCTTAGTTGACATGTCCACATACTCAGTATTTTAACTCCAAAGCATTTTAGCATGATTCACTTCTTGGAGTTGTGTTTGACTTTCGTGTAATCGTTATAAACACGCAGAGACAGGGAATGTCCTTGAGATTTTTCCATTGTGTAAACCAGTGCTGAAAGCTCTCAAAATGAATGAAGCTGGCATGCAATTTCTTTCACTTTCCAATGCCACCTCAGTGCTGCCAACAACCCTAAGTGCTGAACAAGCTAAATTTTGGTAGTCAAAGGACCAAAGGGTTTTAACTTTTCAGAGTGAGTTCAATTTGTCACATGTTATGATAATAAATACCTTTGGAAAAAAGCAAGCATAAACTAATGACCAAGATTCAGAGTGCAAGTGCATTAACAAGCTGGAAACATTTTGGTCATTGTTTCTGGATTCTTTAAAAGAAAACTCAGTAGTAATACATGCTCTCTTTTCTGTAACTTTAACCTTTATGCAGACTTCATAGACTAGTATGCTGCAGTACATAGTATTTAAATTTAATATAAGTTATAGTAATGAGGTATTTTGTTTGGGTATGCAAACCAATCTTAATCAAGATTAATGAACTATATGACTAAGATTGTAAAATACATTTTTTTCATTAAAAAATGGGTAAGACCAATAAACTATGTAATACGTTCCAAGTAAGATTATGATGTCTCTGAGACATTGGATTAGGTCCTGTAGGAGGGTAAACGAAAAGCTAAACTTGAAAAATGGTCATTCGATTTAGTGAGTAGAGAAGGAACACATAAGAATGAAGTTTTAGTTAAGTATAGGCAGGTGGCAGACAATACTTCTGTAGGATGATGAGAAAAGCATTAAGCTAATTTTCTTTATCTCTGTAAGCCTTTGTTTACTTCACCCTTATCTTGTTCAAGTTAAACCCCAGCTAGTCAGTTCACCCCCACCCCTACTCCCTTGAACCTAGCTACCTAGCCTTGGAGAAAGAACAGAAAGAGCATAGGATGAGGGGATAACTAAGGCGAGCTAATTTTTTTTAATCTTGAGGACATTTGCTAGATCCTAAGAATTTTTCCCTTTGGGAAATGTAACTGATTTGGGATTGGGCTTCAGATTGAGTTTCATTTAGGCATTGAGCCACTTCCAGGGAGAACGTGAAACAAGCAATGTGGTTTAAGCAGTTCTAGGAGGCTGGAGAGACAAACCAAAGCTTTCTAAGGGCTTCTTCAAATGCAAAGCTAAATTACCACATGTGAATGAGACATTGGCTCAGTTATACAGATCCACAGCAGCACTGGAGGAAGATAGGGAAGGAAGTCTGAAAGCTTCAAAAAGACAAAGTGAAATAAAAGATACAGCAGGGGGAATGAGCCAGTTAAGTACCCCATCAGTTTTTCAATCGAGATATTTTCTAGGATACTATGATGCTTGGAGTGGGAGGCTGAAGACCTGTCTGGAAATTTATGAACAAAAGAGGCAGAAATCCTGAAGTGGTTCAGGTTTGAGGAGAGAGACCAACTTGGCTGTCAATCAAAAAGCTTGAAATAACCTTCTCAAGGAAGAAGGTTGAAACATGTAGACTGAGACTCTACCACCCATCTCTTACTCAGATCAATTTCTGTTTGGCTAGTATAATCAGCTTCTTACTTGAACTGCATTGTAGAGGAAAGGAGAAATCCTCTCTGGTGAAAGAAAACATCGTTCAGATTCTCGTTTTTTACATGCAGTGTTGGACACTTTTACCCGGTGAATTTGATAATTTGGATGCAATGAGTTAATAATCCTATTAAACATTTATGTACCCAACATAGGAGCACCTAAACATGGAAAGAAATATTGATGAACACAAAGAGAGAGATTGACAGTATACAGTGGTAGGGGATTTTAACACCCCATTGACATCAATAGATAGAACTTCTATTGTTCTATTTTCTTTTAAGAAAATCAGCAAGGGAACAGCAGCCTTAAATGACACAATAGATCAGGTGGATTTCATTGATATCTTCTTTAGAGCATTTCACCCAAAGGCAGCATAATATGCATTTTTCAAGTGCACATAGAACATTTTCTAGGACTTCATGTTAGACATTCTAGGGAGAATGTTAGACATCAATGGGAGAACATATTTGCTGATATATTGGATAAGGGGTTAATATCCAAAATTTACAAAGAACTTATAAAACTCAACACACACACACACGCACACACAC